TAAAGTAAGAACCTTGTCTCAGGAATGGTCTAAATGATGTTCTGAATACCGCATCCCAGAGCGGGAAAGTAAAGAACTCGGAGGTTACTTAGGAAAAAAAAAAAAAAAAGGTGTCTCCTGGTATCCTATATCACCAGATCCATACCTTACTGACGACAAAGAGGTCCTCTCGTTTCACAACACCTTCTTTGATTTTTTTCTGGATCCCTTCCCCAACTTCGTTTTCATTTTGGTACACATAGGCACAGTCCAAGTGACGGTATCCAGCGTCGATAGCAGCCATCACCGCAGCTGTTACTTTCCCCGGTTCGGACTGAAAAAAAAAAAAGTGACGGCACAAAAAAAAAAACCAAAACAAAACCAAACTCCAGTCAACGTATTACCGAAAGGCTTTCTCACAGCAAGATAAAATTACGAAAGCCGCCCCATCCAAAGCAACCTCCGATTAAAATGAAGCAAAGCAGGGAGCCCTGGCGGCCCGGCCGGGGTCACGACAGCGCCCGCAAGGTCCGGGCCGCGCTCCGGCCGCGCTCCTTTCCCTCCCATCGCCCCCCACCCACCCCCGCCGCCGGCAAAGGAGAGCCCCGGTACCTTCCATGTGCCCAGCCCCAGAATGGGCATCTTGGCCCCGGTATTGAGCTGCACAGAGGTGGCCATGGCCGCGCCGACAACACTACGCCACCCCCGCGCGTTCAAACGCGATTAATATGGGCCGGCCCGGCCCGCCCCGCCCCGGCGCGGCCCTGTCGGGGCGGGGCCGGAACCGAGCCCGGGGGCGCAGGGACGGGGCGGTGGCGGAGGAGGAGGGGGGATGTGAGGGGGGATATGTGTGCGGGCCGCCGCACCGCATCACCTCGGTCCTTCGGAGTCACATCCCCGGGATGGGGATGATAGAGGGGACACGACATAAGAGCTGTCGCCCTAAGAGGTGTTAGCGGGCTGTGTGCCTCAGCAAAAGGAAGGGCTAAGCCCTTAGCTGCCGCAGGGATGGTGGTCCCCCTTATCGATGTTTTATGGCCCTGTGTGCTGATAACAGCGAAATGACAGGAGAAAACTCGGATTTATCTGGCTTGTGAGAGCCAGGAGAACCTGTTCTTTGCTCCAAGTGGGACAAATGCAGCTTCCAGTGTGAACTGTGGCTTAGCAGTGTAGAATCATAGAATCAGCTGGGTTGGAAGGGACCTCAGAGATCATCAAGTCCAACCCTTGATCCACAAGATTTAGCCAGCCTGCTAAATCTTATCTACTGTGTCCTTGATAACATGGGCAACTGTTTCTTTACACTGAGCTGGCAAGGAGGAACTGTGCAGGGGAGGAGGGATTTTGTTGCCTTTTTGGGTTTTTCATTTTGGTTTTTTTTTTCTTTGTTTGTTTATGCACGTGTGAGATGTTGAACTGAAACAGGATGTGTAGTATCACGAGTTTTCAGTTTGTTTTTCTGACTTTGCATTTAGTTACTGTAATTTCACCACAATTTGTGACTTTGGAGACACAGCAGTATTTTGCATCTGAGAACGGGACCCAAAATAATGGAAGTGGGTATGTCCTTGTGGAGGTAGTTTTTACCAGAGACCCAGTGGCCTGCAGAAAAAGCACAAAGTAGGGAGGTGACAGAGTTGCAAGGTGCAATCAATCTCTACTCCTGAGGGAGAAAGAGAGCTGTGAGGGTCTGCAGCTTCAGAGGTACCAACATACACAGGCATAGCTTAAACCAGGGTTTGGAGGTGAGAGCATGTGGGTTTCAAGCTTGAATCCCTGGGAAATGGAGTCTTTAAATGGGAGGTTTATTTTGCTCAATGGGGGGCTCCAGTTCAATCTCCAGGTGCCAGGAGGCAGATCTGAGGGGCTTGGCCAGCCCTGACCGTAGAAGACCTCAGCCTGTTTTTTACTCTGAACTCAAATCAATCTAGGAGCATATCTTGGTGGATCTCCCATCTTCTCAGAGCTGATGAGGCTTTTTGTCTTCACACTAGTATTTGTTCTTTAATCCCACCTGCTTAAATAATAAGCCCTGACCGTAGGCAAGGATGAGCAAGTGCTCCTACTATCCACCAGTGGTGGTTACTGTGTGGAAAGGGTGGGTTTATCCCCTCAGGGGAAACCTGGACAGGAGGAAACCATGAACTGCCCCAGGCTGGTCAGAACCAGTTCTGGATGACTATGAAGCCGGTGCTGCCATCTGGTGTGACTGAGCTCCAGCAGATGGGAAGCACCTGTGTGTGTGCATCCCCAGTCCCCCTGGCAGGTGAGAAGGAGGGCAGCACCTCACCCCAAAGGGGCCAAGTTGCTGAGGGGCCTGCAGGCTGGGTCACCCCTGCCAGGCAGGGCAGCAGCAGCCCTGGGGCCAGCAGCCCACCCACCCAGGAGCTCTAGGACACAGGAGTGATGAAAGGAAGCATCAAGCACCCAGCATCACCCTCCGAGCCACCCTTGCTTTCAGGGAGGGATTGGGATGGCCTGGATGTAATCTATGGTGAAAACAAGGGAAGCAGAGAGGAGGACAGGGTTTGGTGTTTGGCTTAAGTAGAGGCTGGAGAAGGGGGAGAAAGGCATTTACTGATTTGGTCTTCTGTGTTCTTCCCTCCCCACAGTACCTGAATCGGTGAAATAAAGATTTGTTAATTGGCAATAAATTATCTTAGATTGCCTTGAGATGAGGTGATGAGGTTGTTTTGCCTGGGACAGTAGCTGTTGGAGATTGTGTGTGATACCCTGACATGGCCCAAAACTGGAGTAATGAGGACTATGGAAGGAGCCATGATCCTGATCCTGGCAATACATGCTGGGGGAAGTGGCACAGTCAGCATATGTCCAGGAGTGAGTGCAGACAGTATGCAAACATCTGAAGAAAGGAGGGACCTTGGGGGGACCATTGCTGAGTGGGAAGGTCACTGGGAAGAGATAGACAGATGCTTCCTTTACACCTGGGCCCCAGTGGCCTGATGTAGTGCTGTAGGATCCACATGTAGGATCCAGAAGCGCTAGCTGGGGATCTGCAGAGGGTTTGGCTATGAAACATGGGTTAGAGAAGTGTCCTGCTGTGTTGGGACTGTGTGCTGGGGCTTGCCATGTGCTGCAAATGAGGCTTCAGAGAGACCAGGACTGCTGGGGAAGGGGTGGCTTTGTGATGTATATTACATTCATGTGGGTGAGGTGTTAACTACTGGTCTGCAGGGACAAAGGATGGAGTTTATAATGAATACACGTTAAGATTGTGACGATTTTAAAGGTGGAGTTTGTATAAGGGTGAAAGCAATTCTTAATATATCTTTCAATTAAAGTGAAGGGTAGAATGTAAAGAACATAAATTGCAGAGGGTATAAGGGGGTGGCAGTGATGACCTGAGTGCAGACCATGAACTACTCAGTGCCAGCCAGGAGCAATTCCAGCTACCACTGAAACTGATATAAACACCCTGTCTCATGCCAGAATTTAAGCCCACAGTGCTGTGACTCAGGAATGCTGCTGGAGACATGGGTGCACTCTTTGAAGGAGGTCCATGCTGAAAGGGCTTACTTCTGAGAGGATGGCAGCTGGTGGATGATTCATGCTTGAACAAGGAAACCCCTGAATTCACTATGGCCACTGGGTAACTCATGCTGGAGAAGTAATGCACTGAAAACACAGTGGTCTAAACCCTTGGCTCTCCCTGCATCATAAAAAGCATTGTACCCTTATTGTTCAATAAAAATGTGTATTTGATCTCAGTAGAGCTCTCTCACCTCAGCCTGGGGATTGCTAAGGGGTTTAGGGGTTGCTTCATTTAGGAAGCTGCAAAACAAAGGTTTTTGGATTGCATTTTCAGGAATTCAAAGTGGAACTTTTGGAAAGAAGGTCTTAAGGTGTTTGTTTTCCCCTGAAACCCAAGTGCAACATCTAAGATGATGCATTTGTCTACCTGCCCAGTAGTAGGAAACAGAAAGGTGACACAGCCACAAAATCAAATACCTCCTCATCTCACCTGGTGGTGTTAAAGGAGCCTTGATTGTTTTAATGTCTTGAATTTGAGCGTCAGGTAGAAAGGAGATTTGGGGGGATCAATTCCTTGAGACCTACTCTCCATGTGTCCCCTGTGCCAGACAGGCTCCACAGTGGGTATCCATGCATGTAGAGGTGTGTGGGCAGCTCAGGTGCTCGGCTCTGCTATCACTGGGTTGCTGGGACGGGTGTCCCTGCACCAGGCTGGGATGTACCAGGGGAAGAGAAGGGGTTGGTGGGCATAGGACTATAGGGGTGAGCAAACCCCTGATGCTGCAGTGCTGTGGGAGGGCTTGGGGCCCCCAGCTGCAGTCCTGGGGCTGTGGGGCCAGGGCAGCAGTGGGATGGGGTGACTGGGCTGAAGGGAGCTGCCAAAGGAGATGGATGGAGCTAGATGGGCCATCATCCCCGAGCTAGGTACCCTGGGCTCACAGCAGTAGATGCTGCCAGGGAAACTGGCCCCTGAGGCTGGCAGGGCCAGTGGGGAGGGAGGCCAGCAATTTGGGCTCTGCACCGAGGGGCTGAGCCTCCCTTGCCAGCAGCCCCCGGGGTTGTGTGTGACAGCTGAAATGTCTCCAGCACCGCCGGGGCTGTGGCCGGCGGGGAGGGGACAAGGCGGGTCGCTGAGGGCTGGCTGCCCTCTGGTGCCCGCTGGAGAATGTGCTGAGGGGCTGTGCTGTCCCAGGGAAAATCCACACATTCGGGAGAAAACCTGAGGAAAAATACTGCCCACTGCGCACCTGTGTGTTTTCTGCTTATGGATTTTTTTTTTTTAAAGGTAGTAAAACCCCTTTTCTCAGTTAGTTCTGGAGTGATAAAACTTCTGGTTATCTCATTTATCCTGAGGAAATGAATCTTTAGTTCACATTTCTCAGATTTTATTCCAATGCTCACAACTGCTGACTATTCTCCTTAGCCAGATAAAGCAAGATAAAGTATAAATGTGAAGGTGTAGTTCAAAATCTCTCCCTGTTTTCTCCTTAATAAGTCCTCATTTTGAAAGAAAATTATTACAGCCCACATTTAATTATTTTAAAACAATTTTACTGTATCTTTCTTTCAAAGAGAACAAACAAAATATAATCACTGAATACATATGCTGTGACTTCATTGCTGCAGGAGGAGAGATGCAATAAAAAAGCTAGATAAACTGATAGGAAGAATATCAAACCAAGCTCTGAAGGAGGGCAGGATATAACCATCTTCAGTATTCTGCATTGAATGGGTAGTCCTTGTGAGTTTTGGCCCTGAAGGGAATAAAAGACTTCATTTTAGCCATAATTTTTTTTCAATCTATCAAGCTCTAGTAGTGCTTAGAGAAGCCACCGAGGCGGGATCTGAACTTTATAACTGTAGAATGATTTTTCTTCCCAGATTTGTTTTCCTGTATAGTGTGTAGATTTTGTACATTTGGAGCATCCAAATCACTTCATCATTCAGGCTCTTGACCTTCTAGGCAATATTTAGATGTAAAACCTCTGTATATATAGTATTCATTATTTAAGCTTTGGGAAAAAAAACCCAAATACTAAATGCTACCACTTACATGCTCATTGTATAGACTCTCCAGTTTCTGTTAAAGCTGAAAATAGTTGCCATCTCCTCTTTAGTCAATTTGAAGTCAAATACCTAACAAGAGAAACAGCTGGAAATCACTTCTCTGAACAAACCAGAGACTGTAAGCAAAATCTACAGAATTAAAGAACAAATCTAAAAGGGAGACAAGCTGGTTAGCCGAAATTACTGTTTCATGGAAGAGAAAAAGGCATCTCTCTGTATTAGTAAGAATGCATTAGCAGAAGAAATAAAAAAAATATATCCAAAGTTACAATTACACATACCAGCTGTTGCAGGACACTTGGAAAGCACTTGCATGTGCCACTTGTGCATCTTTCTGTCCTAATCCAAAGGAACAGCTACAAGACTATCAATCTATCTATTTTGAAACCCTGATGACCAGTTTCAGTCAATTAACAAAGGAGCAACACAGTTTATGGACACCAGGACTATTTTCTTAATGCAAAGCCTTTTGTAGTGTGCTACTGCACTCAAGTGCCAATCAAGCACCATGTGCCAATTCATCTGCAGAACAGGAGACACCATGTAAAGTGACTGCTAAAATTACCAGCATACTGTTACCCAAACTTGGTTCATTCCTGCTTTTCAACTGTAGCCTTAAATGTAGCCCTCAGTACAGTGTGTAGGTACCCAGAGAAAAACTCATCCTCTTGTCCGAGGAGAAGCTGGGAAGGGTGATGTAAAGTAAGATATGCAGGTATTCCCAGAAATGCCAGGGCAGTGGAAAGAATTCAAAAGTTTATTTAGAAGGCCAGAACACAAGAAATGTACAAATTCCTGACAGTGCTATTTAAGGACCGGGCTCTAGGGAGGAAAAGGCAAGTTCCCACCCTCTCCAGGGCCTTTAGTATCGTCTCTGTTTCTCCCCCGCCTTCCCAAGGCCTCTGTGCATGTCTGTTAGGGCTATCTCTCTCTGGCATAGAAGAGAAATAATATAGCTCTCTTTGCAATCCCCTCTGGGCTGCAGAAGGGGAAAAAAAACATCTAACCCTCTTGAAGGCACTTTGCAGGCTTCCTAAGCGAAAATGAGTTTCTAGCTTTCCCATTACAAATTCTTCCGGAAGCACAACTATTCCTACAGGTGAGAGAGGATCTGTGTTTGCTCCGCAGGGAGAAGCTGTGCTGTTCCTGAAGGGCAGCACCCAGCTCACTCCTAATGCCTCACCTGGAAGTTCTCCAAGATGCGCTGTGGTGTGACAGACTTGGGAATCACAATCACATTTCTCTGGATCTGGAAGCGAAGGAGAACCTGCAAGAAGAGAATCAGAAAGAGGATGGTTCTTGCTCTGGAGGAAGCAGAGCCTGTTCCAACAGTCATATTCCCTAAGCTCTTCTGCAGAGCTGCATTTCAAATCATTCCTATCCCTGCAATCCAGGTAGCACTGCCTGGAGAGCAAAGAGGGGAAGTGGTGGAGGCCCCCATGGAAGACCACCTTTCCTATTCAGTTTATAGGCAAACAAGTCTTTTCTTACCCATCCAAACTTCTATCAAGATTTTATTCTCTGTAACAGAGGACTTGAGATGAAGACTGAAACATTACAGCATCGGAAGATGGGTCAAGAAAATGTTTCTTGTTTGCAAGTGTCAGAGGACACTTGCACTGCAGGTCACACAGTAAACAGACTGTACTGCTACCTAACACCACAAGTGACAGGGAAGGAAATGCCACCTTGTCCTGTGTTACAGGAATGGATAACCACTGTCTGGAATCTGTGTACCTGTGCTGTGGATTTCTTGTGCTTGGCTGCAATTTCTTTGATCTTGGGGTCATCCAGGAGGGAAGGATCCTCTGGCTTAGCCCTGTGCAGTGGAAAGATATACTTAGTGTCTCAGTGCTTCAAGCATAACCCACACCAGTTCCCTTGCAGAGCAGTCTTACCATGGTCTGTCAGGAGAGCCAAGGGGACTGTATGCTGTCACAGCAATCCCTTTGGATTGACAGTAGTGTACCAGCTTCTCCTGGGTAAGGTATGGATTACATTCAATCTACCAACAGAAGAGCATAGAGATTGATAGCAGTACAACTGCTGTAACTCACTCCAGGGATTATCTCCTAATGCACTTAAAGGTTGGTATTTGTCCTCATGTGCTCGTCTTTGCAAGGTATTATTCAGTCTTAGTTTTCTACAGCACCTATTTTTACAGTGAGGTTTCTTGTATATCTGGGTTATTGCTCAGGAGAAAAAGCATTCCATAAGGCTTATCCCTGAGTTCTTTGGCCCCGAGAAGGCACATTCTGAGATGCTTCTTGGATTTCCAAGCAGTAGTTGAGCAAATATTGAGAACCCTGATGCCTTGTATGTTCGACTGTAATGTGGACTGGGATTAGAAGGACATGCAGCATCTGCTTTGTAACCACTCCTTATGTGTTCTAGTCATAAAAATCCCTTTCTTGCGAGTTTGTGTGAATGTGTTACATAGATACAGTAGTTTGGGACAGAAATGCATTTTTCCCTTTCAGCATGCTCTTTTTCTGTAACTACATGCTGAGAAAGGCTCTGGAGACTGAGTGAATTTAGCACTCTACGTGAACTTGCAAGAACTAATGGATTCAGAACTGCAAGAGGTGTCTGAGTCTGTGTAATATTCCTGGGAGAGATAAGTATCTACAGCAGGTTCTGTAGCATAGAAGAAGGCAGTAGCTTTGTGTGCAAAGACTAGGTAATTTTTTTGATATGTGTATATATACACACTTTATGTTTTATTATATATAAATAAAAATATCTTCAGGGCAGATATCATGAAGCCACTGCTTCTGCACAACAGTTAAGACTGACCACTCTTTTCCAACTGGGTGACTGAATGAACTGTGCATGCCTGCATGAGAAGAAACGTGTGTTGTTTGAGCAATTATCTGCTATTAATAAGAGATGGGTGCCATCACTAATAAGAGAACAAGTATTGTATTTTAAGAAGTTCTTGTTGTAATTTGTGTACCACAACTTCATTCCCTATCTGGACACAGGAGATCTACAACATCTTTACATATACCCAGAAGTAATCAGAGGGTGTTATTGTGCTATTTTCTTCTGTAATCAGATCCTTATAATGCCTGAAAAAACTAGTCACCTGAAGTCTCCTTGCAGCTTACCTGGACATTTGCAGGCTTGTGCCTCAGTCCTGGCTTGTTCAGGATTCTTTCAATCTGCTCATGGTTAAAGTTGGAGACTCCAATGGCTTTTACCAGACCACAGTCCACCAGCTCTTCCATGGCCTGATACAAAGAGGAGCAAAGTCAACACCCAGTATGCAAGACAAGGCCTGAAGACATTATTCTTGGTTTGTCTTTGTTTCCCTTCATGGGAAGGGAAAGACAACTATTTGGAGTTGCAAAGTTTGTCTCTTGGGGGAAAGTGCTCACTGGTGTATTTGTGCCATGTCTTCCACCTCACCCAAACCCAAGGGCTCCTTCTTGAGATGGCAGAAATTCACATAATGATAAGTTACTTAATAATGATAAACAATAATGTGTTGAGTGAGCACCAGGGGGCTGTACTGCAGCTGTGGACAAAATCACAAACTAACTTATTTCAGCAAAGTGTATTTGAGCAGTTTAAGAATGGTAGTAAAGACAGTTCTGTTTCTGTCATGGTCAAGCAATCTGGTCTGCAGCTCTGCTGAAGATTATCAGCTTCACTAAGCATGTATGTTTTAAAAAAACAACACTGTATACAGTCTGATAAATGCATAAGAACTTTGTGAGTGCTAAAGGTAATGAAAGCATGGAAAAGACTGCCAATGACAGAAAACATGTTTCTCCCACTGTGACTGAACTTACCTCCCATGTATCTAGAAAATCTGCATTGCTGGGTATAGACATGCCTTTGTCATCTTTGGGGAACAGCTCCTCTCCTGCCTGTCAGTGAGAGAGAAAATGCTTGAAACACTCATTATTGGGAAGTTAATAGCAAGACAACTGAAGACAACATTAGCTTTAACTACTAGTAGAGAAAATACTAATATTTGTCTACATAGTTCATGCAGGTTTATGGTCTTTTGCCAGCAAGCATTCCTAGTAGGAGGGACAGGATGAAGTAAGTCGTGACTCACTAAAACACACACAGATAAACAAATCACACCACTGTGTGGAACAAAGTGGAACAAACAAGCTTCCTGTACTCCTCTATCATGCCTTTAAGAGAGAACTGTTGTTTTGAAGGACCTGTTAAGCTCCCAGAAACATTTAAGTCAGGTTTAGGGTGAGCCACATCTCCTGAAAAACATATTATGTAAACACACAGGTCTCTCATGAGGGGACCCTCAGTTTAAATTAGTGGCACTCGGAAAATCAGAAAATCCCAGGTGTACAAACTCAGAAATAAATTCCCGTATCTCCATATTGCTCCACGTCTAGTGTTGTGCAAATGTCAGAGTATTATGCCATGACACTTTTACACAAGGTCTTTGTTCAAATAAAACCTACCATGACATCTTGCAAAGTATGACAAACAGTTGACACGGTCAAAAGCAACAGACAGGATGGAGGCCTTAACCTTTTTGTAGCAGAAAGGAAAAGCCAAGGCTAGACATGGACTGAGACATGAAGTATGAGATGTACTTTATGTAATTCTGACACAGACGTCAAAAAAATCTCACCTTTTGAAATTCAAGGTCTGTGGAACAACTTAAAGACTCCTACAGCAAAGGTCAGCTCAATCTGTACTATATTAAGGACTCAGTGATTAAAGAAAGAAATGGAAGACAGAAGAAGTCTCTTGTTCTGTGATTCTGTAACATGCAGAGGAAACAATTTCTGTCAGGTAGCAAATTACAACCTTCCTTCCCACAAAGCAGGGAAGGATGATTTAGCCAAAAGTAAAGCAGCACAACTCAAGCTTGCAGCTGGGAGGCCTGATCTTAGTGCTAGATCTGCCTGTCCATTATCAAAAGGGCAGAGGACACTGTGCAAGCCTCACTCTCAGGGGCAGAGATCAGGAGCACAGCTGACGTGGCCAGAGTAAAGCTGAATGGGCAGCACTGTCACAGTGCTGGTACACACCAGACACACGCTCTTTCTGGAGCTGCAAGTGCTCCTGGCAGTGTTGAGGAGCTCTCCCAGGAAACAAAGCCAAGGACATTGCTGTTACTGTACCTTCAACCCAGTAGGCCAGTGCATGAGGTAGAGATCCAGGTAGTTCAGTTTCAGGTCAGCAAGAGTCTTCTGGCAGGCTCCCTTCACCAGAGGCTTCTCATGAAATGTGGACCACAGCTAGGGGCAAAAAACAAGGCACACTGTGACCTCCTGGGTTAAATCTCTCAGAATCCTTCTGTACTGTTCTAGCAAGAACCTGTTTCCTTTGGAAGGTGATGTGGAATTAGGCCACCCTGTTTCTTTTCAGATGGGGTTTGCTCTGTAAGCAGGACTGGGCAATGGCCACTGATACGAAGGACAATATGTGCTGTGGTGGCATACGTGATCAAAAAGGGTTGTAAACTAAAAACTGACCCTGTTCCATTAGTCAAGATATGCAAAAGCCATTTATTACAGGTAGATATGGGTTAAAGAGCTCTTTTTAAATTAATAGTTTCAGTGGTGAGCCAAATCCAGAATTTTCAGCAGAAGCGAGTTAAAACCAGGGTACTTTCTGGGACCATTTAAGCTTAACACATCCTTTGAACAATCCCATGAAAATGGAGAATGTGAAGCGTATCTTAGATAACTCTATACAAAATACAGTGACAAGAAGCAGCTTTCATCAGTATTGACCTGAACTATGTCCTGAATTACTCCACTCTATAGCATACAACCTTTTCCCCTGCTCTGAATTTCCCTCTACACAAAGCAGACTTTCCCCTGGACCCTAGGTCACTATATCCTTACCTTACTGACGACAAAGAGATCTTCTCTTTTCACAACACCTTCCTTGATTTTCTGCTGGATCCCTTCCCCAATTTCACTCTCATTTTGGTACACATAGGCACAGTCAAAGTGGCGGTACCCGGCATCGATGGCAGCCATCACTGCAGCTTTTACTTGCCCAGCTGCAGACTGAAAACAGAAGGTTAAGATCCCAAATCAAAGCATACAGGCCATTTCCTAGTTATTTCATCATCATCATCATCATCATCATCATCATCATCATCATGGCTGGGCTTCGCAAATGAAGATTTGGGGAGGGCTCCACCCACGTTTGTTACAAGCACGCTGGTGGCTAAAAAGGCCAATATGAGATAGACACGTCCGATTGCAAAAGGCACAGCAGAAAGACTCCTTAGGTGGTATATTCTGCAAGACACAATTCTTTCTGCATTGTCTTTTCTCCTCGAGAGTGATCCTGTGTGCTTTCTCAAAAGCATCAGCCACGTTATAGATGGTGTGTCTCCAGGTCTCCCAGTTGGAGGCCAGAGTAGACCAGTTATGTTGATCAATATGGCCAAGACTGAGATGTTGTTTCAGGGAGTCCTTGTATCTTCTCTTCAGGGCTCCTCTCATGGGGTAGCCGGTGGCAAGTTCACCATAAAGCAGGATCTTAGGGAGGCAGTGGTTAGTCCTTCATCCTTGAGATGTGTCCTGCCCATCGCAGCTGTGTTCTCAGCAACGTGGCCTCAATACTTGTGACTGCTGCTTGCTCTAGAACAGATGTATTGGTCACATAATCTGACCAGTGGATGTTTAGGATTGTACAGAGGCAGCATTGATAGAAGCGTTCTGGGAGATGCAGGTGGTGGCGATAGATGACCCATGATTTGGATCCATATAAAAGAGCAGACAGCACTATGGCTTTGTAAACACTGATCTTTGTACTTTTCTTCAACTGTTTATTTCGCCAAACTCTTTTATGAAGCTTTCTGAAGGCACTATATGCCTTTGCTAACCTGTTGTCTACACCTTAGTCATCCACATCACTGTTGAGTATTGTACCATTCTCTAGCCCAGCTCCTGCTGGGGCACATCCCACCTGTAATTTGAAGCTGCTTCTTTCAGAGACAGAAGAGATGTGCATTTGTGTGTTTCTATATCCTGACAAGGGTAAGAGCTGTGCACAAAGAAATGTTGGCATATCTTTTTCATACAGATTTAGCAATGTTTGTTTTCAGGCATTGTATGGTTCACTGATTTTGTAGTCATTGTAACAGCAGTGCAAACTGCTTTGTCAGAACTTGCTTGAGACGCATGAATGGTCTTCTAAAGCCGTATCTTATTAACAGATGATTCCCAGTGACCTCGCCCAGGATTAAAGTTACTCAGCACTGAAGCAGCAGACAATCCGAGTGCCCCACTGCAGCGGCACGGAAGCCCTGGCTGCGGGAAGGGCTGGGGAGCAGCCGGGAGAGGGGCCCCGAAGGCCACAGCCGCGGGAGCCTGGCTGGGACGGGAGAGGATGGGATCCGCGCATCCCTGGGGAGGGGGTTGCTGGGTATGTGAGGGAGGGAGGGAGCCGACTCTCCCGGGCCAGGGAGACCCAAGAGTCAACTCTCTCCCATGGCAGGAGGGGGACGACAAGGACGGAGGGCACGCTGGGGAAAACAGCTTCAAAAGCAGCGTGGGGCTCTGCCTGCGGGGACGACCAGAGCCAGAGAGCATCCTTGGCGGTATCCCGGGCAGGATGCTGGGGACACCGACAGCGCTGCGCTCCGGCCCGGGCTGTCGGTGGGGACGGGTCACCGAGCCAAACCGAGCCGTGGTGTCCGAGCTTCATCCCCAATTCAGAGCGCTCCGGACCGCCGCGCAGGAGATCGCACCGGGCGCAGTCCCAGCCCCGCTGAGAGCAAGGGACCCTTACCTTCCATGTGCCCAGCCCCATGAGGGGCATCTTGGCCCCGGTGTTGAGCTGCACGCAGGTCGCCATAGCTCCAGCTGGGAATGCTGCTCGGCACTATCGCCCGCCGAGCCCTGTAATGACGGCTGGGTCGCGCCCGCCCCGTCCCGGGACCTGCCCACACGGGACAGCCACCGAGCTGGGGCGGGTCAGTGCCGCGTCTCCCCGAGTCCTCGGAGCTGCTCTCTCCGCGGATGTGGGCTGTGAGCCTCGGGACAAGGAGGGGCTCTGAGCCCACCGGCTGGAGCAGCGTGTCCCCGCGGCAGAGATGGTGGTCCAGGCTCTTGCAGAGCTCCTGTAGTGTCTGTGTGAATCTGGAGCTTTCAGCCCTCAGTGCCCCTCGGAAGGTGGGATGATGCTTGTGGTAACAGGAGAGGAAAAGTGAGCTCCTTTGTAGGAGTAAATTAGAAAGCAGTGAAATTTAAAGAAGAATGTTATTTTTAGTGTTGGGAGAGGTTTCTTGCGATGTTTTTTTTTAAGAATAGAAGAAGATGTTATGTTAAGGCCACCTAAGAAACTTTGCTGATTGCTCCTGCTTGGTGAATTTATTCAGGTGCAAGCATTGTTTGGACTATAATGGTGCATTTTTCTCTGTGTGCCTTTCCCACAGCTGATGTCCAGCTGCTTTGTAGCTTTGTACTGTTTTTTTTGTCAGCAGCATCAGCCGTTCTCAGCAGGATGTGATGTTTCAGTTACATCACAAAATAGTTATATAATGCAGTGTTTGCCTGTTTTTTTTCTTTCTGGATTCCTTCTCTGTAAATTTGCTCTGAGCATGCTCAGACTCATGGGGTTTGGTTCAGGGGTCGATGAAATCAATGGAAAGATTGTGATACTAGGAGTGCTGACGACAGTATTAAAAGAAAGCTGTTTGCATGGGAGGCCTGCTGCCATCCTAGTCTAGGGGGTTTCACATTTCCTTTTTTCCTTCCTACTGTCCCTCCCTCAGTTCAGAAAAATGGACACTGTCCATCTGCAGAGCTGTAGGGAAGTTCTCTGTGCCAGTCATGGCATTGTGTCTGGTGAGCATTCCTGGTAAGCATTGCTGATGGTGGGCAAAGGACTGGAACTAAGGTTATCAGAGGGGCAGAGCAGCTGCACAGAGTGCATACTGTTGGGGAGGTGGACTTAGTAGTGTTAGCTGGGCTCAGAGATCAGTTTTCCATGCCTGACCTCTATCTTGACCTTAATTATTAGCAGAAGTCACGTGGAGACTTGTCCTGACAAAGATTGTTGCCCTTCACAGAAGGTACCCTATTTTAAAACATAATTTTGCTGAGGACTAGTAAGGTTTATGCAAAAAGCACTTCACAATTCTTTTTTTTCAAAATAAAACGTTGAGTCATGCCTGTGATTTGGTTTTTCAAGGCAGATGAAGTACCAAATTGCCTCTGCTCTCCTATTTCCTGGGTGCTCAAGCCAGTGGTGTTCTGCTTTGACTCCAGATGTAGAAGGTCTCAGTGTAGGAATCACAAGAATCTATCAGATTTTTGTGTTGCTTCTGTGAAGGTGGTGCTTAATTTTCCCCAATGGTTTCCTGAATGAGAGATGTCTCTGTCTTTTAAGAGAGGATTTGGGGCAGAAGGTTTGCATTTTGCTTTGTTGTTTGTGCCTGTTGGTGTGAGTCTTTGCCCAGATCATGCCAAGACACAGGATCTGTCAGTTGTTTCTCTATCCTGAAGGTGTGTCTGGGGTTGTCAGATGATGGCAGGGCCTTTGGGAAAGAAGTATCACTTTTGTCAGTGGATGACAACCTGAAATGCCATACTATCAAAACACTTCCTAGCTATCCTAGCACTCCCCAGCAAGGCTCACCTGCATCTTCCACCGGAAGGGATAGGCTTTGTCAGAGGAAAGCTTTATTCATTCACATAGTTACAGTTAACAGAGACCTGTCCCAGTTACTGTGCCAGTCAGTCAGCACAGAATAGCCTGTGGAGAGAAGGTAACACTCCACTGTCACATTCCAGTTCCACCATGGGCCCCCTGCTTTTATGCATCATGACACCCGTTAAACAGTCTCCCCTCTCTCCCCAGTCTCTGCTACTCTGGGTTTTTAATAGCCAGATATCAGCACAGGATACCAACCAAATCAGTCCACAGTGATACCACTGTACAGTTTTCCAGCAGTTTCAGGTGTTGGTCTCCTATTGCTTGTTGATCCACAGTCCACTAAGGCTTGTTTGTAAGTAAATTGTCTTACTCAACTGTTCTTGTCAGCACTGCTCTATCAATCACAGCTTATTATACCAAGTTATTCAACTTTTGATCAGGACAAGATCTTCATGCTCTTGTGACATCATTTAAAATTGAATAGGGATTATTGCTGGGTTAAGAACTGGCTGATGGCTGGGCCCACAGAGTGGTGGGGAACGGGGCTGCATCCAGTTGGCGGCCAGTCACAAGTGGTGTCCCCAGGGATCAGTGTTGGGCCCAGTCCTGTTTAACATCTTTACTGATGATCTGGATGAGGGGATTGAGTCTACCATTAGCAAATTTGCAGATGACACCAAGTGGAGTGGCAATCTGCAAGAAAGCAGGAGGGCTCTGCAAAGAGACCTAGACAGGCTGGATAGATGGGGCTGAATCCAATGGTATGGGGTTCAACAAGGCTGGAGAGCAGCCAGGCAGGAAGGGACTGGGGGTTCTGATTGACAGGAAGCTGAACATGAGCCAGCAGTGTGCCCAGGTGGCCAAGAAGGTCAATGGCATCCTGGCCTGTGTCAGGAATAGCGTGGCCAGCAGGACCAGGGAAGTGATTCTGCCCTTGTACTCAGCCCTAGTTAGGCCGCACCTTGAGTGCTGTGCTAATTCTGGGCTCATCAATTGAAGAAAGATATTGAGGTGCTGGAGCATGTCCAAAAGGCAATGAAGCTGGTGAAGAGTCTGGAGCACAAGTCCTATGAGGAGAGGCTGAGGGAGCTGGGGCTGTTCAGCCTGGAGAAGAGGAGGCTCAGGAGAGACCTCCTCACTCTCTACAACTCCCTGACAGGAGGTTGTAGCCAGGTGGGGGTTGGTCTCCTCTCCCAGGCAACCAGCAGTGGACAAGAGGGTGCAGTCTTAAGCTGTGCCAGAGGAGGTTTAGGTTAGACATTAGAAAGAAGTTCTTTACAGAGAGAGTGATCAAACATTGAAATGGGCTGCCCAGGGAGGTGGTAGAGTTACCGTCCTTGGACGATTCAGAGACTGGATGTGGCACTTAGTGCCATGGTCTAGTAGACAAGGTGGTGTTGGGTCAAAGGTTGGACACAATGATCTCAGAGGTCTTTTGCAACCTGGTTGATTCTGTAATTATTTCCAATGACATTGTTAATGCAAGTTGCTTGGTTTGTTAATTTTCACATTAGAGTAGAACTTCCAAACCAGCAGTAATCTAAACATTTTTATTTTGGTTAAGAATGAAATTGAACACTAATCTCTGTCCAGTTTCAGCCTGTAAAAAATTACAACTGAATTAAAGCCCAGTATGAGTTGGTATGCATCTGTAGGTCTGGACGCTTCTCCCATTTATTCTTCTTTCACAGAAAGCTTTGAACTGTGCTCTAGAAGTAAAATTATTTGTTGTCTTTTATCTTCAGGCAGTGATTATGTAGTTCATTCTTTCAGGATGGATCTTTCTTCTGTGTTCACATATCTTTAACCCTGCAGCCTTAAGTGGTGTTGATGCAAGACAGAAGACAAAATCAGTTGCTAGGTTATTCTGTTTTCTGCTTTACTATTTCAGCCATGCAGAGACACTCATCTAATGAGCAGAGAATTATTGTAGCCCATATTTTGTTCTTCAGAACAGTTTTACTATTTTGTTCCACCAAAGAAGAAAAACCCAAAGTCACTGAATACCTATACTGGGCCCTTGCTGGCAGGAGAGAGACAGTGTGCAGCTAGTGGGCAACTTCAGGGAATGGTAGAAGCTCATTACACTCCAGAGGCCTTCAGGAGGGCAGGATAAAACCATCTTCAGTATTCTGCATTGAAAGGGTACTCCTTGAGATTTTTGCACCTGGAGGAAATCAAAGAGGAAGGATTACTTAAGGCTGAAATATAGAACCTTCAAGGGAGGCTCTGAATTGAGTAGCAGCAGAATGAATTTAAGAGACTTATTAGTATAGAAAAAGCATACAGGACCAACAAGTTCATCTTTTTCTATTATTTAGGCACTGAGCAGTGGTGGGACCAAATTACTTTCTAGATAAAAAGTTAAAATTCATACTGCTTACAGAAAAAACAGCACTTTCTGCAGCCTTCCAGCCAACTCTTCTTGTCTTGCTCTTGGCTTCCAAGGTGCATATCTGCAAGCAGTTGTGCTTTGTACTGCTCAACAGATGATCATTCCCTCCCCCAACCACCTATGTAAGAGCTGACATCAGCTTATAATGCCTCACAGAAAAAATTATCTTAAGTTTAAAACTGCCTAATGTTCATTTATCCCATATGGACACAGCCAAAGTTATCAACCAGAACCCTCACTCTGGAATTCCTGGCACACAAAGTTTCCTGAAGAACAGATTTACAGTGAATACACAGCATGACTTATCCTTTAGTCAATAAAGTAAAAAAATATAACTCCGCTAAGATGTTAAATAACAGACCCTTCATCCCCCAAATGATTTCACATTTCAAAATATATATCAAAATGAAGATCATTGAAAATGCAAGAGTTTGAAGGAGACAAACGGCCACTTACGTGATCATTTCACAGATCCTCCAGTTTCTGTTTAAGCTGAGCAGGGTTGCCATCTCCTCTTTAGTCAATTCGAAGTCAAACACCTAAACAGAGAAACAGCTAGAAACCACCTCTTTGAACAAATCAAATCAGAAGCAAGATTCACAAGATCAAAGAACAAGTTCATATCAGAAAGAGTGCTGGTTACAAGTGATGGCTTCAAGAAACAGGGAAAGGAAAAGAAGTATCTTTGGATTTTCGATATTCTACTGGCAGAGGGAAGAACCAAACAAAAAAGACTGATGGTTGCAGTTACATGTGCGAGCTATTCCAAGGTGTTTGGTGAGCACTTAAGCGTTGTAGAATGCCTCCATCCTCCATTTGTGAAAGGTCCATCTTTCTGTCCCATACCAAAGAAACAGCTACAACACTTCCATATTCAATAAATCCAGCTATGTTACATCTGAAATCCTGATGTCCAATATCAGAAAAAATGCCTTTACGTAACAGTCAGAGGAGCTATGTGGTTTACTGACAGAAGGACTCTTCCCTTAATGTGTTGCTTACTCTATATTTTGAGGAATGTTACTTGATTGAGGCTACAAGCCTACTCACTGTGTCATCCACAAGTCCACAGAGCAGAAGACACCATGTAAAGTAACAGATAATATTATCAGCATACTGTTTCTAAGAGCTCTGTCTTTTCTTCAGTTTAGTTTTCAATGTAGCCCTGACTTCCAGACAGAAAGGGTGAGCCCAGTCCTGCTGCCCAAGGAGGACATGGCAAGGATGAGAGAGGATCTGTGTTTGCTCTGCAGGGAGAAGCCGTGCTGTCCCTGAAGGGCAGCACCCAGC